TTTTTTTTTTGAAAAAGGGAGGGTAGGAAGCCAGAATTACAAAGCCAAAGCAGGGATCAAGGGTAAACGAACCAGGCAACATACCGCCCAGGTTCGAGAGACCCAAATAAAAAACCCCAGAAAACTAAGGATAGGCAGAGATAGAGGTAAAAGCAACAGTAACAGCTACATCCTATCCCGAAATAACCATCCTGGGAAAGCTAACGCCAACCAAATATTCTAAAAGAACCTTATCTAAACCTGCAGGAGGTTCTACTAGTTCATACATACCAAAGGGACAGACGAGACTGTGCTTCGAGAGCCAGTCCGCAACTCTATTCCCTTCCCTGTATGTATGTACTAGTCGAACCATCCAGCTCTGAGCCATCATTCTTCGAATAGCAGCAAGGAGGGTCGAATGAGGGTGTACCGGGTCATCCCTGTTGTTTATCAATTGCACCGCTAGCTGTGAATCCGTCTCAACAATCAGCAGTTGCACTCCTTGTTTCCAGGCAAAGTTTAGTCCATGAAGTATGCCCCATAGCTCCGCTAACAAGGTTGTTCCATTACCGAGCTTGCTGCAGAATCCACCCATCCAGACCCCATCACAATCTCGGAGGCTGCCTCCTGCCATAGCTACCCCATTGTGGCCCTGCATTGCACCATCAGTATTGATTTTAAACCATCCTCTGGGGGAGGGTTCCAACCAACTAGCTTCTCCGTACGCCTCTGTTCCAAGCCAGTAGTGAGCTTCAGAGTAGCAGATTCCCAAGTCTTGCTCCAATCAGTAGCTTTGGCAATCACATAGTTAATCCACGTAGGACGAGTTAAAGTCTTGCTTTTGAAAACAATGTCGTTCCTCGTCTTCCAGATGTACCAGTTTACCAAAGAAAATAAACTGTTCCAATTCTCTGGCCATTCGTTACCTTCTTTGAAGCGGAGATTATCCTGGAACCAATTATCCTGGTCAGCCGAGAAGAAATGAAGCTGCTGTGAGTGTGGCACCTGGCGCTCCCAAATATGTCTCGCTATGTGACAGTCCCTCAAGCAATGTAAGTTGCTTTCAATCTCAATCTTGCACAAAGGCCTTTTTTCATATGAGGTTAAGTGTCTGAATTTCCTTACTGCATTCGTTGATAGTCTTCCTTTGACCGCCAACCACATAAACCACCTGACGCGTTCTGGACAATGCAGCTTCCAGATTTGATTCCAGGGGGGAGGAGCGATCTGCTCTTGTCGACAGGTAACACTACTATAAACAGAGCTGGTGTTGAAGTGCCCATTAGCAGAGGCTTTCCAAAAGAGAGTATCTTCCACAGTGGACGGAGGATCAAGAAGAACACTTCTGATTTTGTCCACTACTTCCTGCAGTAGCAACGACTCAAACTCGTCGATTCTCCAGCCGTCAACAGGATCCCAAAAATCGGCCACCTTCTTACTCCGGAGCTCGTCATGGATCTCTTCCAGAGCATGATCTACCAACGGTTCCTGCATGATCCAAGAATCAGTCCAAAAATTAGTTCTTTTACCATTCTTCACATTATAAGCCATACAACCGCGCAAGAGAGCAGTTAGGGTAAAACTGCGCCAAGAATGAGAACATCCCTTTTTTTTCCAAGAATGTCAATCCCTTCTCTCGAGCTCTATATTTGCATCTGAGGATTCTTGCCCAAAGCAATTGATCTTTGGTGATGATTCTCCATCCTCCTTTTGCAAGCATGGTTTGGTTAGCAAACTTCGTCGGTGGGATCCCAATACCACCTTGGCTTCGTGACAAAGTCATTTGATCCCATGCCACCGGGCGAAACTTCGTTTGCCCATCCTCCTCGCCCCAGATGAATCGTCTGTTGATCTTGTCCAGAGAATTGCAAACAGAGGCAAAGAGTGCTTCCGTGAACATCGGGTAGACGGCCATGGAGGAGGCGATTGATTTCACAAGAGTAATTACCCCTAAAGGGGTTGGAAAAATGACACCGCCTATTAATTATAGACTTTTAAGGTAATTACTTTGTGTTGCATTTAATAATCTGTCTGAATTAAAAGCTCATATTAATTATTTTCTTTTTTTCAGTGCAATGGTAGTAGTATCAGTGCAATGATAGTTCAAACAATAGAATGTAATTAATATGAGTTTGGTGTACATGTGCAATGGTAGTTCAAAAAATGTAATGTAATTAATATGAGTTTTTAGTTCAATAAGATTATTAAATACAACACGAATTTAATACAAAAAATAACTATAATTAATAAGGGGTGTCATTTTTTCAACCCCTTATGGAGGTTGTCAATAGTGATGGCAATTGCGCGGGTACCTCAATACCCATGCCCTCCCCACGCTACTGTGGGTCGGGGCGGGTACTGGGCGGGGTGGGACGACTTACTCTTACATGTTATTTGAAAAAAATAAACACAAATTTTACTTTTACGATAGAACAAAGGTAAAAAAGCTTTATGAATGAAAAATAGTGATAATATAATGGATAATTGAGTCTAACAAGTTGAAAGATTAACTCTAGCTAGTTGAAGAAAAGTCAAAATAGGAGAAATATGTATAGATACTGTAAGCAAATGAGATAGAACGGGGCGGGGCAGGGCAGAGCGGGTCGGAAGTAGATACCCATGATCCACCCCACACTACTGTGGGTCAGGTAATACCCGTCTCATCACGGGTCAGATCGGGTAATACCCACGGGGTGGGTTCAAATTGCCATCACTAGTTGTCAATCTAACTCACCCCCCACATGAATTAATTGTATCATTGATCGTTTGCTTGCTGCATTGAAAATGAAGGTTTTGAGTTTTGAAAACCTTTGGATTTATGATGAATTTGTTGCATTTTGTATTTGAAAGATAGGGTAAATGCCACATTTGGTCACTGAGATAACTAAATCATGTCATGTTTAGTCACTAGAAAAAATTAATATCAATTTTGGTAATTCGAATTACTGAAACATGGGCTAAATTACACGTTTAGTCACTCAAATTATACAAATCTTTCACATTTGCCACCCGAATTACTTTTCTTTCTTATTCGCCACTAACTTTACGAATCGTTGCACCGTTAGTCACTGGCCGTCCAATTCCGTTAAAATCATCCTACGTGGCAGTCAACTAAACCCTTTGACCGTTAGTTTGATGACGTGTCAATTAAAAAATAATATAAAAATAAATATTAATTTTAAAATTAAAAAATATTTCACCTTCCTTCGACTTCTTCCTCCGAGCAACACTTATCCTTGAATCCAATAGAACTCTTTATGAATTCATATCCACTGTGGAACAGCGACGGCTATAGCAGTGCCGGAATCCTTCGCCAGAAAAGTCCCTCCGCCTTGCTGGACGAGGGAGGAGACTGTCGAGCTGATCAAGGCCAACAGCGAGAAGTAGTTCGCCGTCAACCGCAGGAACCTCCGGGTTGCCGACTAGGACGTCGTCGTCGCCGCTGGCCGACTCCCCGGCTCCTTCCGACCTTCACAAATCCGTCGTCCCAGTGATCGAGAATATGCTAAAGCGGTACTGCGCCGATAAGCAGCGGTGTGTTAATTTCCTCCGAGCAACACTTATCCGCTGCGGAACGGCGCGCGGCGGCGGTACTGCTGGAAATGAAGAGACCGGACCCATGAATGCAAGGCATTCCGGTACTGCGTCGTATTGCATCTCTTGTGGCTCTACTGCATGGGTCCAATCCACCTACAATCGTTTTGACTTTAATGATTCCACTTGCAATTACATTCTGATCGGCAACAAAACCTTTAATTGAGCAACTTTGACTCCAAATCAAATTATTTATACTCACCTCACAGTTTCGACTCCTCAAGTCCGGCAGGTGAGGAAATCACCGGGCAACGAGCAAAGCCCAAGAGAAGGGAATGCGTCCATAGACAAGTCGGAGATGTTGACAGCGACAGCAGCAGTAGCAAGAAATGGGGGAAGGAATTGGTAGCAGATTGAAGTGTGGCCTACACAGAAGTCCGGTCTCTTCATCTCCAGTAGCACCACGCCGCCGCTCCAGACTATTTTTCTGCCTTAGATCTGGATATGAACAGAAGCTCAATCAGGAGTTCGATTGGATTCAAGGATAAGTGTTTTTTTTACAAAAAGGATAAGTGTTTCTGGGAGGAAAAGTGGACGAAAGATAGAATTTTTTTTTATTTTAAAATTCATATATATTTTTATATTATTTTTAAATTTCCACGTCATCAAACTAACGGTCAAAAGGTTTAGTTGACTGCCACGTAGGATGATTTTAACGAAATTGGATGGCCAGTGACTAACGGTGAAGCGATTCGTAAAGTTAGTGGCGAATAAGAAAGAAAAATAATTCAGGTGGCAAACGTGAAAGATTTTTATAATTTGAATGACCAAACGTGTAATTTAGCCATGTCACATTTAGTCACCGGAGAGTGACTAAATGTGACATGTTTCAGTAATTCGAGTGACATTCATAAAAAAAAGTAATTCGAGTGACCGGAGTTGGACGGAGGCTAACGAGAGAGTGACTAAATGTGACAGGTCTTAGTAATTCGAGTGACCAAAATTGATATTAATTTTTTCTAGTGACTAAATATAACACGATTTAGTAATTCCAGTGACCAAATGTGACATCTACCCTTGAAAGATAACATTGTATGTTTAGTTGATTTTCATCATGGATTTAAGAAAATTTGTACCATGGCTCACAAACCCTTGCCTTCCATGACCCAATACCAAATGAAATGTGTTATTTGCAAATACGTGAGATCCACAAATTTGGAGCTAAAAAAAGTTCAAATCCTTGGCCCCACGGATTTGTATACCTTAACAAACAATATATTTTCAGCAAATACATAATGCTTGAAATTTAAATGTCAAATACATCACTCAAATCTCACACGCAAACGATACCGTAGACTAGTTTGACAACCTTGAACACCACACAAGACACAATATGGCATTGGCATCCAAACGACGTAGTAACAATAATCCTCTTAAAATGGCAGTCTTGGACAGAGTTTCGGGAAGACACAGAAGCAGAGTTTGATAATGGCGCCTTTGCTTTGAAAATAAATAGCTCTGTCTCTCTCGACAACCATTACCGTCGGTGGCGAAGCCGCTTCGTCTAGAACCCCTCGACGATTCTGATTCAAGAGAGAGCCAGGATGATGCTCCGAACTCCAGTTCCGAAAAGGGCGAGGCCCATCGAGCCCGCTCCTATTATCGAGAGCCCGCCCACCGGTTCCGATCATCACCGGCAGCTCGCTATCTATGAAGATCCTCCCTCTGCCGATCCTGCTCGCCGGGAGCCCTCCCATGAGCCCTCGCAACAGTCCGAGCACATGCTCTGCACCTATCAGTGCCGCCAAATGGTTCGCTCTCTTTACCTTTTCTTCAGAACACTAAATTCATTCCTAGGGATTTCTTTTTTGCTGTTCTGTTCCTATCTGTTAACTTCTGTAAGAACTGGGAAGTCGCACTGTAGCTTAGATAAGTGTTTGCGTTCTTAGCCAAAATTTATAGCTTTTGTTTGTTTCTAACCCTCTTCACTTTCCGAATTTGTGGTTTGGGGTGCATGTTTTTCCCTTATAATCAAATTCTTGTACCAATTGAAGTTTAGGTAGTGTGCAAAACATGGTTTGTAGGTGCTGTAAACATTCTGGGGGAATGGGGATCCTTTTAAATTACTCGAGACGGATTATTTCCGAGCATGTAGCTGCTTTCAGACCATGGTTCTTTGACTATCATGTTCATGGTTTTTAGTCAGTCATCATCCGTTGTGCCTCCACTTTGAACTTTTTCCATGATCTATGAGACATATAGTTTTGAGCCCAGCATGTGTGTTTTTTTGTAGGTTAAAGCAGATTTTCTCGATGCACTGAGCAATGCAGAAAAGCAAGTTCAGGACTATCAGTCTCAACTGGCTGAATTGAGTGATAACTTCAGGAAAGCTGGTGGGTAGTCATGTGTTCTTCCGTTTAGTTCGTTTGCTTACTGAGTTTTCCATGTCAGAACTGATCCTTGGATCCACAATCAGTTAACCGTGCAGTAACGCAGGCACACTCCAAAATGCATTTACTGTAATTTTCTGTTTGAAGCACGTTGAGTAACTAGTAACATGACATAAGATCTTATAGTCGAGAAGGAAAGAAAGGGCTGGGATATCCTACAGGCATTTCACCAGTTCTGGAATTGAACAGGCTGAGATATGAAATATAGGAATTTGTTATTGCGTTGGTGTTAGATTTTCCTTTTAAAACAGTTCCTTCGTATATACTATGGTCTCTTGAAGCCTATCTAATAATTCCTTTTTATCCCAATCAGCACTAGTCTGTAGTTTCGTCTTTCATGTACAATTGTAACCCTTTGCAGACGAGGAGCGGAAGACATTTAGGGAGAAGTTATCATATGCAGAGCAAGAACTTGCTGCTGCAAAAGGACGAGAGCAAGCATTGCATGATCAACTACTGAAGGAGGTTAATGACTCTCATGAAAGGTTGAAAAAAGAATTAGAATCGTCTGCAAAACTTCAGGTATGCATCTTGCACACTTCATCAACGTTTTGGCTGTCTTTACTCTCATCCTCTCTTTATCCACTTGATTGTCTTGGTTTTTGTTATAAGTTGAACTACATTAAATTTACCCTGTTTATTTGCTTCTGCTTTAGACAAAGCTTGAAAATGAACAGAACCTTCGTAAGAAAGCAGAATCCACCGCAGCTTCTGCTGAAGATAAAGCAAGAGAGTTGGAGGCAAAACTTGGCCATATTTCTCAAAGCATAGAAAAGGAGAAGAAGCAACTCAATAACGAACTTGTCCATCTTAAACGGGATTCCAAGTTTTCAATTTCGAAGATAACTGTGGATGTGAGTAGTCAAATTTGTCAAGTACATTATAAGCTGACAAAGTCGGCCTCTGTACTTGGCTAACTTGAAACCTCTCTCTTATCTCAGCTTGAGAAAATGGAATTCAGAGCTCAAAGTTCCGAGAAAGAAGTGGAGCTGCTGAGGAAGCAGCAAGAGGATCTGCAGTCCAAATTTTCTCAGGTGCTTTCTTTACATATTGATCATGACATAGTCATAGTCAAGTTCAATAGGTGTTCTCCTGATCATTTGATTCTCCCTGATTGCTTATTTATACAAGATTACACAGTAATATGATGTGTGTCATAGCTTCTGCTCTCATTAAGATGCCTGACTCGTCACTGTCCCTAAAGGACTTTTGTGAAGATGCTCTAACCTCTTGCTTACTGTTTGGTGCTTGATGGAGATGTTGGTTTTTGGCTTGTGGAGTGAAAAGTCATTAAGGAGTTTGAGTTCAGGAAAGAAATGTTTGATTGCCTTATGTTTGTATTGTCCCATGGACTTTCTTTTTCAGTGCTTGCACCAGAAGAGTGAATTGGAGAAAAAGTTAACAAGCCTCTCATTTGAAGATGATTCTCCAAAGGAGAGTGATATTTTGGTTAAGCATCTACAAGAAGAGCTTCGCAATTATGTAAGTTTCTGCCGGTACTTCAGTTATGTCTGCTGTTTATATGCTTGCTACTCTGTATCAACTTCCACTCAGCTGTAGTCCACTCAGACAAGTCGTGTTTATTTGAGCTACTACTTAGCTTCTAAAATCTAAGAAGCAAAATAAGGTGAAGCTAACATTGAACTTAGTTCCGAACCTTGATAAAAGTTTCTACACTCACTATGAGGCTACATAAATACTAACTATTGACCAAAATGTCTCATCTCCAATCAATAAATGTAGCATAAATGAAAACAGAGAAAATTGCCTATCACTCTTGTCTTTAATCTTACGAAACGCTCTTGGGATGTGAAATTTTAAATTAAATAAATTATGAAAATGATAGATCTCAAAACTTTACTGTCTGGATAAGTGATTTTAAGCGGTAGATCCTAGGAAGTGGGTCCTGGTATTAATAATGGAAGTAACAAAATTAGAAATTGTGGCCAATGCGCTTAGAGAGTTTGGAATCTCCAAATTTGCGGTGGTAAGTCTAGTGATTGTCAAATGTATGGATTGTGTTCCCCGTTGACCATCTCAATATGGCTTCTTACATATCTTTATCTTGATGGATTCTGATACACAATTACTCATCACAATCAGTGCTGGTGGCTGACTGTGTCTGGACCTTTTTAGATAGATTGATAACACATGTTGGTAGAAAATTAGAATAGATAGCCAATCGGTTGGGAGAGGGCCACTTGTGGAAGTTGCAGAAGACCTTGATAGCACTGTGCTTCTGCTATCCGTTTCACTTTGTTGTACTGTTATAACTTGTATGTCTCCTGCTTTGATGGAATGATCAAATGACTTGAATCTGAACATGAGGATTATGCTTCCTCTATGCAAAATAAATTCGAGAGAGGAAGATGGCAAGTGATGGACTTTGGTTTCAGTGGTGGTCTGTCAGAGGTGTAACTGTTACAGATACTTAAAAGATCTAAAATGCACAAACACAGGAGATAAACTGCATCTTGGTATTGTAATAGGGAGGAGCAATTCAACATCTGTGAGATTTATAAAAGAGTATTCACAGGGCCCATTGAGACCTAAAACCAGACTTGGGTTTTGCAAGTATGCATTCATACTGTGGCACGCGAAGTAATTTTAGGTCTTGTATCTTTGTATTGATAGTGTTACGAGGGGGTGATGCAGCACTGAATGCTACTGCCATGTTGCCTTTGTACTTAACAAAATGGCAATTTCTCTTTATTACATGCTGTGTAGTGATGGATATTATGTAATTTGATGTATCTAGGCTGATGCTTTTTAGAAATTTGCTGACTATGGACATGAATTTATCAGGAGTCGGAGGTTAGAGAGGCAAGAAAACTGAAATCTGCTTATGAAAACATTGAATTAATAAAGGAAAAACTATTGGAAGAAAAGAGCCGCAGGGAGAGAGCTGAGTTACAATTGCCGAAGTTGCACGAATATGAGTTCAAGATAAATGAATTGGAGGATGAGTTATCTGCTTGGAAGCTCATGATTCAGGACATCCCAGGTGTTTCGTGCCGTGATGACATACGTTTGCGAATTTCAGCATTACAGAAGTATGTATCAATAGCTTCTACCTTTGTTAAAGCCTTGTTCCGGAGATGGAGAATTAGCTTGAAAGTTTTTTGAAATGGATTTTCATACTTGCCTTTTCTTTTGAAGTTCTGGCGAGGTTGTAATTTTCCTCTCATTTGTTCATCAGAACGGACTAGGTGCAGATTCTGGTGCCACTATCAATTGTAGTTTTCATGTTCGCTAGCGCACCTCGACCTTTTGGGGGTGTGCTATATACCTCTTCTCATAATTACCATTTTAATAATTTGATTTGTGTTTCCTTTTATTCACTTGAATATAAGATGGCTGAGATCTTGGTTGAATGCATTGCTTTAATTTAAGAAGGCTCAGATCTTGGTTGAATACATCTTCATTTCTAATTATTTCGATGTTGGCTTTCATGTTTAACTCAGAGAGGTGATTGATAACTTGAAGAAGCTCGGTGATGTGAATGCCCATTTGAAACAAATGGAGGTGATTTTGGACAAAACCCAACTTGATAAACAAAAAACTGAGACAGAAGCTGTATTGGCTAAAGAGAAAGCTGACCGGTTGGAAGCAGAGGTTAAGAGGATGAATGTGATGGTAAGCTTGGTTTTGGTACTTCCATGCAAACCGATGTAGGTTCTTATCTTTTTCTCCCACACATTTCTTTTTCTCAATGTTTCTCCATGAATTGTTGCAGCTTTCTGCTGTTTCTGAAGAGCGGAATGTGTTAAAAACTGCCATTGAAGATTTCAAATCAAAGAATGAACAAGCAGGGGGGAATGCAAGTAGTAGTATCATGCAGGTATTTGAGTTCCATTCGTGCTCCTTTATTTATGGTTGAAGCTGTTCCTTTGTTATTTACTACATTGCGCCTTTTCTAATGATTACTTATGACTTACAATTTGTATAGATCCAGGAGCTTGGATCATCTATCTTGGAAAGAGAACCTTACATTAAAGAACTGGAGGGTGATTTATTTGCGCAAAAGGAGATCAATGCCCATCAACGTGATGAAATAAAGTCACTTCATGACAGACTAAATAGTGAAGCTAGGAGAGTGAAATCCTTGGAGAGGGAGAATGACCGCCTTCGCTCAGAGATTTTTCTGTTAGAGTCGAAGGTATTTCCAGGGATATTCTCTCTAATATATTTCATTGTGAAGATCATGCTATTTCTTTTATACTCAATGTCGGTTTGAGTGCCTAAGGCATTATAATGCCACCACCTCTGCTATGAAAAACACGGTGTATTTGTTTCTGCTTTTAATGAACATGGTAGCAATCCTTGGGAAGACATAAGAGCCTTTCATGTAATATGAGATTGGGGAGTTGACATTTTTGTATTTGGCTATCAATTTGCACACAGATAGGTCATGGTGACTTTTCTGCTGCCAATACCAAAGTGCTAAGAATGGTAAACACCCTTGCAGTAGGTAATGATGCCAAACAAACGATTGAGGCTTTACAAAGTGAGCTTCAGAGGACAAAAGAGAAGTTGCAAGCACTTGAAGAGTATAAGAGTCAGTCGGGTAAAAAATTCTGTCATTTGGGTTCCTCTACTTGTTTGCGATTGATTTTCAGAAAATGTATTGCCTCTATGTAGAGAGCGTTTTCTTTATTGTTCCTTTCTTTCTTTCATTCTTCTTTATTATATAGCCTGTGTATCTTATTGGGAAGTGAGAAGCCAGGCCGTGTTAAGATATTGATCAGTAAGTAGGTTATGATGTTGGTTCTGTTCTGTTATTGGGATGATGAAAATTATATATTGAGAAACTTTCCATATCTGCTTGCGAAATGAAACAAATTAAGTAGACTTACTGCTATTTGGGCTTAGAATCCACCTGATATCTCAAATCTGCTCACCAAATTGTATCAAGGGGGGCTGGAAGGATGCATGTGTATGTTAAAGCAGGAGTACTTGGTTCTTGCCTTTTATACATTTCAGTATGCACCTGGAGCATGATTGCACAGTATTGTATGGTCCTAGTTGCTTTCATTGGTTTTGCTGTTTGACTACTGCTGTCTTTTCCCCTAATGCCCTTTGAGTTGGCCAGGTAATTCTGGCAAGATGGTAGACTCATACATGTCCGGCAAGGTGGCACAGTTAAAAGAACAAATTGCAACACTGGAGAAACGAGAAGAACGGTAACTGTGTCATTCGTGGAATCATAATCTCGCATTTAGAGGTGCAATTTTCGCTTCTCCAATTCCAGCTTCTGATGTAAACATCGGATTCATTTTTGCAGATACAAAACAGTATTTGCAGATAGAATCTCGGTTTTTAGGAGGGCATGCTGTGAACTTTTTGGCTACAAGGTATGAATTTATAAGTGTCGCATTTGAAATTGGTGTATTGGTGGTTTTCCTGTTAGACAATTCCGCTAAATTCTTTTGGTATATTGACTAAATTTATAACTCATGAACTTCTTTATTGTTTAATTTTACGTGAGGAAGTTCTGCAAGGTTTATACTTTGGCTTTATTTTATTTGGCAGATTGTGATGGATGAACGCCAGCGTCCAAATGGAATCCCAGTTACTCGGTTTACCCTTCAGTCCATATATGCAATGAATGACGACGAAAAGCTTGAATTTGAATATGAATCAGGGAATACAAACATTGTGGTGAGCATCGAAAGCTTCTGCTCTCTTCTGTTTCCCCCCGTTCTTCTCGAAATGGGTGATGTACACAGCACAAATATATTGTTCTATAGAAGCTTATGCTGTCATTTTCATGCCTTAGGAAAACAGCTACACCTCAACCTCAGAAATTTCTCAGCAGGTATGGATCATAAAACTCCTGCGGATTGTTTTCATCTGTGACCAGTTTACTGGGTTGGCTTTGTATAATGTTACCAGAGTTCTACGATTGCAAGAACCAATGAATCTCCAATTTTCCATGTAACTACGTCCCTGTACCCTTTGACCCTTGAGTTTTGAACATCTTTTTTATGGTTACATTCACAGGTTGACATATTTGTACGCAAGATGAATTCCATCCCAGCTTTCACGGCAAACTTAACAGTGGAATCTTTCAACAGACGAACCCTGTCTTAGAACATTTCAGAAGTAGTACCTAGATGGTCCCTAAAGGTTCAGGCTTTCTTTGATTCTGTGCTTTGTTCATCTTGCTGCCCAGGTGATCTGCTCATAGGCCAAAGGTACGTGTCAATATTCGGTTTGAGTTTATAATATCTACAAGATTCAAGCTTTATCCTGGAAAATCTCCTGCATTTTTTTGGTGTGATTCTAAATCTTGATTTTGCTGCTTTGTTGTCATGCACTAAACTTTGACTTCAAAGTTGCTGTTAAGTTCATTGTATTTCCAGAAAGTTAGGCGTTGAAACAAAAATGCCCCCCATGTTTCTTCTGGTCCCCAAAATCTGCTTACTCCCTCCCCAGTGACTTGACATGTGGTTGAATTTTGGCGCCTTTTTTGACTTGTATGGTCAGAATTTTCAGCACTCAAATTATATAAATGCTCTGTGCCTATCCATCCAGTGGAGAATGCCGAAAGGTGGAAAGGGTCATGATTGAAGCCCAGATTGCGCATTTGGATTTTATAAAAGAAATTGTATTGTTCACAGTGCACCAATTCGATTTCTAGTGTTGAAAAAACTCACATCTTACTGCTCATCTTCGGGTGCGTAGAAGGTGATTTATTGTAATTACATGTGCAGGAATAGTAACTGCTCCACCATCTCTCTGTTTTTGGTGAAACAGCGGCAAGTGCATTTTTTGTTCTTCCTTCAGAGTCAGTTGGGCTTCAGAGAGCCATAACTGTTGCTGGCATGCTGCACATATGAATTTACAGTAAATCACATTTCCCCCCCTGTAATAGTAAATAACATTTCCATGCCCCATAAACCATCTTATAAAATCCAATCCTCGAGCATAGAATTAACAAGGATTTAGAATGAATAAAGATTGTGAAACTTACGAGAGGTTATATTGGAAAAGTCAATGGTAGGGTAGTTTTTAGTAAATTGTGATTGGACCGTTATTCAATCATTTCATACTGCTTAAATCGTCAACCAATTTGAGTATGATATCCGGTACCCCGTTCCAACTCGACAGTGGAGACTTAGTGATGGCAATGGGGCGGGACGGGTGGGTATCTTAATACCCATGCCCCGCCCCATGCTACTACGGGGCGGCGAACACTTTATGAATGAAATATAGTAATAATAGAATGGGTAATTGAGTATAACTAGTTGCAAGTCTAACTAGTTGAAAAAGCCAAAATAGAAAATTGTGATACAATGGGTCAAGAATAGAGTGGGGTGGGGCGCGGCGGGGCAAGGCCGGTCGAAAGTAGATACCCATGTCCCGCCCCACGCTACTACGGGTCGAGTAATATCTGCCAATTGCAGATCAAATTGGGTAATACCCGGCGCAGCGGGTTCAAATTGCCATCCTAAGTGGAGTATGGTTTTTTAGAACATTGAGAATCAAAGCTCGAACTACAATCTCACCCTGAACACCACACATGTTGTACACTTGTTGGGAAAACTCTTAGTAGTGGTCGAGCTATGTTGAAGCTAGGAGGGTTGTAGAGTCCCCTTCCCTCCTAACTTTGAAATATTACCAATTTTGCACTAATTTAGAAATTAGACCTAAGTACAACAATTCAAGTTAGCTCGACAGCCCCTCTTGTTTGGATTTCAGGTTCTGCCACTGACTGTTGGGCTTATGGTTGACCGCACAAAGGGAGGTGTTTATATTTTACACACCTATGGATGACCATCCCCTTTTCCAAATCCTTTTGGGATTGCCATTGCTTTGCTTATTCTCCAAGGGAAATGACTCAAATGTTGGTAGTCAATTCTCCTTGTATGAGAGGAGTCATTGTACCATCCTTTCTCCATTAGTAAAACTTCATTTGACCAACTAGTACATGATCACATCAGGATTGACAATAGTTATATGGTTAACACAACAATCCTTATGGCATAAGGATTCATAGTCTAACTTTGATTAGTTAACCTTCATTTTATCATTTCTAAATATCTTATTCATGTTCATGATGTGCGGCCCATTAAGTGTGTGTTCCATCGACAATGACATAAGGAATAGACATTGGATGGCGCCTAACAACACATCAATGCCATCCAAAATCAACAAGGAGGGAAGGAACTCACTCATCTTGTTTTGCGAACATATTGTGAAGTATGAATTTTTTTTTCCACAAATTATCACGATGAGATCCAAACTATGAATTTGTCATGCTTGTCAAAGATTATTTTTGGATCGATCCCATATAAGTCTATTTAGTTCAAACTCATGGAAATCACATAATTTGACTTGATGTTGGACAACCATTTCATAAACACTGTCCATTGAAGAACTTTATGATATCATAATTCTTTAACTAAGAAGGACAATAATTTATCTTGCTCTGTCAGATCTCTTGCACACTAAGAGCCCATACCCAATGACTATCCACGTGGTGCACTTGTTAAAGCCACTAGACATAGTAATGAAGTAGGATAGTAAGATGTGGGTAAATTCTATAAGCTCAAGTCTAGTAATTTTTAGTTACTCAGAACACAGTGAAATGACTCCCTATTTGTGGATATACATGTATCGTGTCTCACCTTCGGATCGGTCCAACACTTTGGTGAAGCACCACATAATCTCCATCCTATGTGTCTCGCATATCGACATGTTACTTGTCTCCACATACCAAGATTTATGCATGTGTGTCAACACATACCAATACCATGCTTCATAAAAAAACGTTTTGTGATTTAATTCACGGTTAGAGGTTTGTTATTCAATCCGAACACACCACATTCGATATAACAAAATCAATAACCAGCCTTTATTGATTAACCGTGCACACCCTAATGGAAACCAAACTGCACACATTGAGAGTCTAGCTACATATGTAACTCTTTGTACCCAAGATTTCAACTGACTACAAGATCTTAGAATCGTTCCATAACTTTCGTACGACGTGCTCTTGGTTCAATGCATATACAATCACCGTTGAATCGAAACATATCTAATCACATCACATTTGACCCAATTGTCGATTCAATTTTTCCTGCGTTCATTGCCCTCTCCCAAAGTCAATGCAGCATATTGCTTATTTTGGTTTCATGTCCTTCCTATTCCACATACAAATTCTGCCTTGATCTGACAATTCAGATGGCAAGGACAAAATGTGATGGTGCGCTAGGGAAGAAGTTTGAGTGGGAGAGGGTAAGAGCATTATATCGAACCAAAGAAGCAAAGGTGGGTTTTAGAAAAAAAGCGCCATATATCTTTGCCCGCTTTCTGCGCAATGGTGATGGAGTTTCAGGTAACAAAGTTAAGATTTTGTCAATACTGAGCTCAAGGGGAAAAGTAGGTTTCATGATAGGTCAAATCTGTTGGGAGGGTATTTCTGTTTCACCATTGCATATGAGGTTAGAATTGAATGCTTTGGTTGTTGTGGTGTAAAATTTTCAACTTTAAGTGGCTACAAGATAATGAAGGGATTGCGTATCTCTGGCCTTTGCTTTTGACAATGTGCCATTACCAAACCAGGGATCAGTGTAGGTGAGTGCTGTTTGGCCTGAATTTGCTATTTGGAGTTGTCCTTTGTGGCCCAATAGTTCACTCGCATAATTTTAGGTTTGGGAAATGCAATACACTAATAGTTGACATTGTTCTTCATTTGATGAATCGACTATGGTGTATTTGGGATATATTCACTCATAGTTGACATTGTTCTTGATTTGAAGAATTGACTATGATGTATTCGAGATATAACAACGTAATTGACTCGCTCTGAATATCACAATTAATTCACGCCTAAGGTAATACAGGGTAAGTATGTTTAAATATCGACTCGGGCTGGTCCGTGTACCCCTACTTCAGTCATTTGAATCATTATCTAGCGAATCGGTTTTGGTTGAAAAGTTTGCTAATTAAAGTAAAGCAAGGCAAAAATAAATGGTTTTGAAAGCTCTTTGTGAGAAGGATCACTCAGGTGTCGCTTCCCCCTAACTACTACCATGGTATGTGAATCGAAGAGATTGTTATGGGCAAGGTGACCGCGAACCGCTAGGAGACGCAAATATGACCGTAGACCACACTCTCGATTGCCAAACCGAGGGATACATTGTAGGCTATTCAAGTGGCCCTCTAGGTTAAGGCAATCGATGGTTGACTTACTCCCTCACTCAACCCAATGGTTGGTCGGCTTAATCGTGCTTAACCAAATTGCTTAATTGAACATAGAGGTTTACCCTTAAGAAGCCCTAGGAATCCCAACTTAATTGAGCCTCCCTTGAGGGGGGGGGGGTCCCCTCTAATCTAGGTTGGAATGGCCAATTAGATTGATAAGCACAAACATGCACAATCAACATGAAAAATACCTCAATCCTTGAATTAAATAACACCCATAAACAATCATTCAATTCACATAACAACTACATGGCAAATAGTTAGGGTTTCACAACACCCAAGTGAAAAAGGAAACTACTCCATGCTAGAAAGGGGAAGAACACAAGAGGAAAAGGTAAAAACTAGGGGTGAACAAACACATCCGCAAATCGACCCACCCATCCAACCCGAACCAACCCACCCATATATATTTGCTATAACGAAAGTTTTGGATTGGGTGAGGGTTTTCTTTTGTACAACCCGCCTCTTTTGGGTTGGGTTTGGATTTTGTATTCACAACCCGTAGAACCCAACCCAACCCATGTTCTAATTATTGGTATGAGTTCTTATCCAAAAATATTTATGTCATATATAGCCACTTATGAGAAAATTAAGATATTTCGCTATGTTTTTCTCTCATGCATGGTCTCCCTAATCTAATGCATTATTCGGCTTACAGTTTAGACATAAATTTAATATATCCATGATTCACGTAATCCTTTTTCTGGTGTACAATTTTAATAGAATAACATATTATGGATGCGTCATTTATAAACTTTTTTGCCTATTTCAACAAATGTTGTAAAAAACTAAACATAAATTGAAGTAAATCAAATTTTATTAAAATTCAAACAACATTTGTGAATTTTGATACCTTTCACCTTGGTTTATTCGTTTGAATTTTTAATTAGTTATAAAATATTTTTATGGTGTAGAATAATTATATATTTTGTGTTGGGTTGGGGTTTTAGTTAAAAATATCGTCAACCCGACCCAACCCAATTAGAAACAAACCGTAGGGTTAATTTTTTTTTGGGTGGATTTGGGTTTAATATTTTGTAAACCGTAGTGCATGGGTCGAGTGATAAAAATGACCAAACCCGGACCACCCGACCCATGTACACCCCTAGTAGAAACCATCATGGTGATGCCTCCAATCTCCTTTGAGCTTGTGTTGATCTTTTCTTGGGGAGAATCTTCCCAATTCACCAATTAGAGCAAACCCTAGCTTTCTTTCTTTTTGGTTCGTTCTTTCTCTCTCTAAAATCTGAAGAAGAAGACACTTTCTCACTCTTGGGCTCTCCTCTCTCTGCCTTTCAACTCTCCTTTTAAACATGGATCGGGCTCAGTTCACAGCCTCAGTTCACGGTCGTGAACTCTTGAACGCGTCCGTGAACTCAAGGTTTGCGTCGAAACGCACCGCTTCGCTTGCACAAGTTCATAGGCAACAGCTCCAGTTCACGGTCTTAGTGACCGTTACCTCACTCAGCGTCAGTAACTTCAGAATTCGCCCTGGACGCCTTGATGTACATGGGCAACAACTCCTCTTCACGATCTTAGCAGACCGTGAACTTCCAAGAGAACTCCTAGTTTTCACTCCTTTTCGTCCAACTTCCGACTCTGGGGCTGATTTCGCCTGTTAAATCCTAAAACACAAGAAACCTCTCATAAAACCACTCTTTTAGGAGCACAATTGCCACAAACGCCTAAGTAAAACGAGGGTAAAATATGTACAATTAGGCCCGAATCACTCCCCCACACTTAGATGTTTGCTTGTCCCCATGCAAACT